AGGAGTTGGAGGTTGCTGTGAGCTGTGATGCCATAGCACTCTACCCGGGGGACAGCTTGAGGCTCTGTCTCAAAAAAAAAAAAAAAAATTAGGTAAAATTTTCAAATAAGATTTTTACTTTTTAAAAAAGATAGTCTTTCTTAAAATATGCATACTTTTTGTAACAACAATAAAAAATTGTTTTACTTGGTGATGCCTGTGGCTCAAAGGAGTAGGGCGCCGGCCCCATATGCCAGAGGTGGTGGGTTCAAACCCAGCCCTGGGCAAAAACTGCCAAAAAAAAATAGTTTTACCTTATAAATATGTAAAACTATTCTGTGTGAATTAAAATTTTTTATTTATTTATTTTTTGTAGATTAATAAGAGAAAGTTTTTTTCCCAAATACCATGTGCATGGGGGGAAACAAAGGATGATTTCACCTAAAAATCTTTTAAATAGGGGGCAGCGCCTGTGGCTCAAAGGAGTAGGGCGCTGGCCCCATATGCCGGAGGTGGCGGGTTCAAAACCCAGCCCCGGCCAAAAATACTGCAAAAAAAAAAAAAAAATGTTTTAAATATCTTTGACAGGGCTGGGTGTCGTGGCTCACACTTATAATCTTAGCACTCAGGGAGTCCGAGCGGGGTGGACCGATTGAGCTGATGAGTTCAAGACCAGCCTGAGCAAGAGGGAAACCCCATCTCTAAAAAATAGCCAGGTGTTGTGGTGGGGGCCTGTAGTCCCAGCTTCTTGGGAGGATGAGGCAAGAGGATGGCTTGAGCCCAGGAGTTGGAGGTTGCTGTGAGTTATGATGTCATGGCCTTCTACCAAGGGCAAGACAATGAGACTCTGCCTAATAAATAAATAAATAAATAGAAATAAATACAGTTTGATTCATATCCTTCCAGACATTCAAAGTTCAAAAATATTTGAGCCTTCTAAAGAGTCTATTAGCCAGGGCGGTGGCTCACACCTGTAATCCTCGCACTCTGGGAGGCTGAGGCAAGTGAATCACTTGAGCCCAGCAGTTTGAAGTTGCTGTGAGCCAAGACAACATGGCACTCTACTCAGGCAGACAAAGTGAAACTCTGTCTCACACACAAAAAAGTCTATTAGAATGGCTAGGTGTGATGGTTCTCGCCTCTAAGTCAAACACTTTATGAGGCTGAGGCGGGAGGACTGTTTGAGGCCAGGAGTTTGAGACCATCTTGAGCAAGAGATGTCTCTACAAAAAATAGAAAAGCAAGACACTATCTCTACAAAAAAATAGCAAAATAAGCAAGACGTGCACCAGTAGTCCCAGTTACTCAGAGAGCTGAGGCAGGAAGATCAGTTAAGCCCAGGAGTTTGAGGTTATACTGAAGTACGACGATGCCACTGCACTCTAGCCCAAGTGCAAAAAGATTCTTTTAGAAGTCCATCGGCGGTGGAATTGATTTGGGTAAGAGTGAGAGTGAGAAGTCTATAATGCAGTGCTTAAGAGTATAACCCAAGGTCAAGAAGTTGTAGCATGAGATGGTGGTAAGATAGTTTTTCTCGCCATACCTTGGGATTTCCTTACATGTAAAATGGAGATAACAATGGCACCTCTCTCAGAGAATTTTTGTAAAGATTAAATGAGATAATCTGTATGAAGAAGTTACTGCCTGGTACATTATAAGTGTTCAATAAAGCTAGGCAAGGTGGCTCACGCCTATAATCCTAGTGATACAGGAAAAGTGGTATCCCAGCCAGCTCGTGGAGCTGGGGAGTGTGGG